CACTCTCTCAAAATAAATAAACATTAAAAAATATCATTGCCTATTCACACGTAAAGAATACATTTAGGGGTGCCTGGCGGCTCAGTCATGAAAAACATTTGTTCACAAATCTGCTGGCTTAGTAAAGCTCTGCTCTGCTCTGCATGGCATCAGCCGGGGCCAGAAGATCTGTGTTCACGATGCCTCACTCACATGACTAGCAAGTTGTTACTGGCTGTAGGCCAAGAGCTCAGTGAGGCTGTGGATCAGGGGACTGAGTACTCCGCCTGTGTGCCTCTCCACGGGCTGCTCGGTTTCCTTATGGGATAGTGGCTGCAGTCCATGAATAAGCATCCCAAGAAGCAGGGAGTAGAAGCTGAAAGTTTCTCTAGGCCTCAGCCTGGAAACAGGCACAGCATTTCTGCTGTATTTTCCTGCTCAATCAATAACCAAGCCCAGATTCAAGAGAGGGTGGGGGAGGCACTGCACCCGTCTCCGGATGGGAGAAGATTCAAAGAAATATGGGACCATGTATTAAAGTTACTACAATAATATTTTTTAAAAAGTTATAATTGAGAATGAATTAATAAATTGGAAAGACTAAATTAAGCAATAGTCCCAAAAGAAGAAAGAGAAAACAATGAAAAGGAAAATAGAGATGGAGGATAGAAATAGAATACCTGCACAACAGGAATCTCAGAAAAAGAGTAAAATAAAAATGGAGCAAATCAATGACATGAACAAACCTTGAAAACACACTAAACAGAAGAAGCCAGACACAGGGGCGCCTGGGTGGCTCAGTTGTTTAAGCATCTATCTGACTTTGGCTCAGGTCATGACCTCGGTTTGTGAGCTCGAGCCCCATATCAGGCTCTTTATGTTCATCGCAGAGCCAGCTTCAGATCCTCTGTCCCCTTCTCTCTCTTCCCCTTCCCCTCACTTGAGCTTGCTCTCTCTCTCTCTCTCTCTCTCAAAAACAAATAAACTTAAAAAAAAAAAAAGGGAATTGAAAGCAGGGACTTGAACAGGTATCAGTATGCCAGTGTTCACTGTGCAGCTGAAAGGTAGCAGCAGCCTCAGTTTTCATCACCAGATGTGTACATAACAGACTGTGATCTCCACTTACAAGGGAATATTATTCAGCCATAAAGGAATGAAGTCTGATATATGCTACAAGGTAGATGAACCTCGAAGACATTCTGTTAAATGAAATAAGCTGGGAGGGAGGGCATCTAGGTGGCTCAGTCGGTTAACCGTTCGATTTCGGCTCAGGTCATGATCTCACGGTTCGTGGGTTCGAGCCCCGCGTCGGGCTCTGTGCTGACAGCCAGCTCAGAGCCTGGAGCCTGTTTCAGATTCTGTGTCTCCCTCTCTCTGATCCTCCCCTGCTAATGCTGTCTCTCTCTCTCTCAGAAATAAATAGAAAACACTAAAATTTTTTTTCTAAAAATAAAATAAGCTGGATGCAAAAGGACGAATGTTCCACTTATATAAGTTAGCTAGAATAGACAAATTCATAGAGACGAAAAAAAAGAATAGAGGTTACCAAGGGCTGCGGTGAGGGGAAATGGGAAGTTATCGCTTAATAATTACATTACAGGTGTTTGAGATAATGAAAAAGTTTTGGAAATACCATGATATGTGTGAGTGTAATTAAGCCCACTGGCTTGTGCACCTGAAGATGGTTAAAATGGCAAATTGAAATTTTTACAATGAAAAAAATAATGTAATATATGAAGACCACTGAACTGTACACTTTATTTTTTAAATTTTATTTACTTATTTTGAGAGAGAGAGAGTGCACACGAGCAGGGGAGGGACAGAGAGAGAGGGAGAGAGAAAGAATTCCAGGCAGCTCTGCACTGCAGTGTAGAGCCAATGCAGGGCTCGAACCAATGAGCTGTGAGATCATGACCTGAGCTGAAACCGAGAGTTGGACACTTAATTGATTGAGCCACCCAGGCATCCTTGAACTGTACACTTCAAATGGGTAAATTGTATGGTATATCAATTTTATCTCAATAAACTTGTTTAAAAACAAACAAAAAATCCAAGATGTAATTAACCAAATAATTCTAATATTTAGAGGGTGGTAGAAGGATACAGGAGGAGTGAGAGCTAAAAATCCTCATTTTTCGGGGCACGTGGGTGGCTCAGTCAGTGTGGAGCCTGCTTGGGATTCTCTCTTTCCTTCTCTCTCTGACTCTCCCCCATGCTCTCTCAAAATAAACTTTATAAACTATTAAGAAAATAAAAATAAAAATCCTCATTTTTCAAATTTCTGAGTCAATAAATAATATCTAAAATGTATGTCTAAAGAGTTGGCAATTGGTATGACTGGGTGGCTCAGTTGGTTGAGTCTGTTCAACTCTTGGTTTTGACTCAGGTGATGATTTCGCAGTTCGTGGGTTTGAGCCCCCAGGTTGGGCTCTTCTGTTGGGCACAGAGCCTGCTTGGGATTCTTTCTCTCTCTCTCTCGCTCTCCCTCGCCTGCTCATATGTACACGCTCTCTTTCTGTCAAATAAATACATTTAAAAAAATAAAGAGCTGGCAATGAAATACATTACTTAGAAATATGGAGGAAAATACCAGTAAATATCAACAATTAAAAGTGTTGAAAGTGATTGCTTGGGAGAACAGAACTGGGGAATGGGAGTGTGAGGACAGAAGTTGGGGAGGGGACTCGTCACACCACCTGCCAGCTCAGTGTTTTGCCACCAAGTGCACCCCTAAATAACCACCATCCAAGGCAAGGTGTGGACACTGCCAGAACTCCAGAAGTCCCTTAATGCCTCCCCCAGTTGCCACCCCATGCCTCCCCACCAGCCACAGACCCTTTTTTTAGTCTTTGTTTTTTTAAATGGAGATGTAATTGACACATAACATTGGGTAGGTCAGGCATTCTTTTTTAGTATATTTTTTTAATGTTTTATCTATTTCTGAGAGAGAGAGAGAGAAAGCGTGAGCAGGGGAGAGTCAAAGAGAGGCAGACACAGAATCCGAAGCAGGCTCCAGGCTCTGAGCTAGCTATCAGCACAGAGCCTGACGCGGGGCTCGAACCCAGGAACCGTGAGATCATGACCTGAGACGAAGTCAATGCTTAACCAACTGAGCCTGAGCCACCCAGACACCCCAGGTCGGGCATTTTCTAAGTACCTGAGTTTGATGATATCACTTTCTTGTTTTCTTATTTATTTTTGAGAGGGAGGGTGCAAGTCAGTGAGGGGCAGAGAGAGAATCCCAGCAGGGGCAATGGGAGAGACAAACAGGGGGGCAGGGGGGAGAGAGAGACAGACAGGCAGAGAGAGAGACAGAGAGAGACAGAGAGAGAGAAAGAAACAGGGCTTGTGTTTTACCCAAAGCAAGACTCAAGCTCACCCGATGTGGACTCGAACTCCTGAACTGTGACATTATGACCTCAGCCCAAGTCAGAGCTTAATGGCTGAGACACCAGGCGCCCTCTTGTTTTCTTATTTAAAGTCTCAACCTGAGCATTCATCCCTGAACATTAAGTTTAATCCTTTCTGGGTTTTGTTTTGTTTTGTTTTGTCAGAAGGCTCTACTCCAAATGCGGGGCTTGAACTCACAACCCCAAGATCAAGAGTTGCCTCCTCTACTGACTAAGTCAGCCAGGGACCCTGGCTTTTTTTTTAAAAAAAAAAAACTTTTTTTAAAAAGTTTTTTAAAAAACTTTTTACTGAGAAAAAAATATCCATATAGAAAAGTTCACATACCGTAAGCGTATACAGTGTGCTGAAATGTTCACAAAATGAACGCGCCCATGCAACCAGGACCCAAGACACAGCCCTTTGTCAGAAACCCAGAAGCCCTTCTTCACGTCCCCTTCCAGCCAACACATCCCCCAAAACTGACTGTAACAGCATGGATCAGTTTTGCCTGTACTTTATGTAAATGGAATGACATAATATATATTATTTTGTACTGGCTCCTTTCACTTGACATTAATTTTAGAGATTCTTGCATGTTGTGTGTAACTGCCTGTGGATACATGTCTTCAGCTATAGTAAGAAAAATGTTAAACTGTCTTCCAAAACAGTGTTTATCCATTTAATCAGCCCAGCAGGGTATGCTTGTTGCTCCACATCCTCACTAACGCTTGGTGTTGTTCACCTGCTGAATTTTAGTTGTCTTCACTATGAGTTTTATTTTGCACTTCCTTAATGGCTAATAAGGTTGACTATCTTCTTATTGGCCAATTGAATATCCATTCTTGTAAAGTCCTTATTCAAATATCTTGCCCATTTTTATATGGGATTGTCTGTCTCTGGATATAAGCCTTTTGTCAATTATATATGTTGGAAATTTCTTACACTTTGCCTTGCTCTCTCCCTCTTGAATTTTAATGTTTTATTTATTTATTTATTTATTTATTTGAGAGACAGAGAGACAGACAGCGTGAGCAAGAGAGGATCAGGGAGAGAGGGAGACACAGAATCTGAAACAGGTTCCAGGCTCTGAGCTAGCTGTCAGCAGAGCTGACATGAGAGACATGGGACATGAGAGAGAGAGAGAGAGAGAGAGAGAGGGAGAGGGGGGAAGGGGCAAGGAGAGAGGGAGGGAAAGAGAATCCCAAGCAGGCTCCTCATGTGGAGCCCAATGTGGGGCTCAAACCCACAAACCATGAGATCTTGACCTGAGCTGAAATCAAGACTCTGATGCTTAACCAACTGAGCCAGACAGGTGGCCCCTAGGTTCAGCTTCTTAAAAATAAAAACCCCCACAAATTTAAACCTTTCAGAGACTGGTAACCCACCCATTGTCACACTCCATCATGGGATCGACACCACACTTGAACTAGATTTATTTGTGCTCTTTTGTGGCCTCAGGCTTTTATCATAATAATATGGTAAGATGCCTTTGCCCTTCCCAAAAGAGATAAAGCTGGAGTCCTCTCATTTGAGCAGCTGAGGCTAGACCTACAAGACCCCTCAGCAACCAAGAGCCCACCAGACCCCATTCCCCTGCTCCCCAGGGAGCAGGAAGGACTTTCACACTCGGCTCCATACCCAAAATGTTTATTCTCAGCATACGCTTGTGCCTGGATGGCTGGGAAGGAGACTTTGTGAGACTTTGCCACAGTGACCTCCGGGGGACTGGCCAGGTCACCAGAGCTACAGGATGAGGACTGAGAAGGTGGCAGCAGCCAAGAGGCTTAGAACAAAGTATGGGGAGGCTTTCGAGGGCCTCTGGAGGACCTGACTGATTGGCCACTTGGTCACCTTCAGGTGTGTGTTGAGGTGCTCACTCTGAAGCTGAGATAGGAGGTGGGAGTGGCAAGCCCTGACCACCTGCCTATCTGGAAACTCGTCTTCCACAGGGTTCTGTCCATTGTTCTCCTCTCTCACCTGGGGGTGGAGTCAGCAGTTAGTGGCTTCCATAGCGCCCCCCTCACCTACTCAAACCACCACACCGTCCTTTTGCCCAACCCAGCATACCTGTTCCACGCGTCTGAAGACCCGCAGCAGGTTTCCACGAAGGACACCCTGGAGCTCTTCCTCACTCCAGCCGCGACTCAGCAGTTCCTCTATCAGTACTGGGTACGTGGACACGTCCTCTAGCCCCCGAGGGAACCTGTGTGGCCATGAGCCTCCAGCTGTGGAACCTCAGCCCTGATCAGGATCAGGGTCTAGGGCCCAGTGTCCCACCAGCGCCAATCACATAGGTGAAATTGAAGGCCACACTCTCCAGGCTACTGAATGTCACTTTGGTAGCTCCTTGAAGACAGAGCTTCTGTGGTATTTACCCCCTGAGCAGATGACTGGCCCACAACAGATCTGCTGAGCTGGGAGTGCAGCATGCACTAGGAGAAAGAGCTCTGCTGGGGCAGGGTGGCGGGGGAGTACTCAATGAATGTGATGGTTTGGAGGGGGAGTGGGTCTGGCAGGCCAGAGGTGGGAGAGGGAGAGCCCAGGAAGCAGGCCCTGGGAGTGGAGAGATGTCAAGTGAGCTGGAAAACCAGAGCCTGTAGTTGAGGCCTGAAGTGTGGGAGCAGCATGGGATGGAGAGACTAAAGGACTCCCTGCCATGCCCTGCCCAAGACAAACCCCAGGGAAATACTCACCGACCAGACCCATCGTAATTCCCACCAATCCCGATGAACTCTGATCCAATGACAGCTCTGATGTAGTCAAAGTGATCTAGGGGGCAGGGGTTAGTGGTGAGCAGCACTACCCTGGAGTTAGACCCTGGGACCAGCCCTTGTCCGGGTCTGGGAACACTCAGCCCTGGCCAGTTCCCCTGCCCACAGCACTCCTGGCCATGGCAGCTGACTTCACGGAGCTCCTAGCCAATTGTGAGTTCTGAAATGACTACAGGCTGAACAGTGTCCCTTTAGCATTTTTTCTTCCCAGAAGCCACCTTGCCTCTGGGTTCCTTGAGAGCCCATCTGTCCTGTCCAGAGAAGTGAGAGCAAAAGACAGAGGCAGGGGCAGTTGCTTCCCCCAAGCCCAGCAGCATTGACTATGGCCCCAGATCTGGGTGGCAGCGAAGAGCCGTGTCTCCTCTCCCAGGTTGTCAGAGGTCTTGCCCCTTGCCCAACAGGTGTGCTAGACTGCCGGGGCCGTCTGTCCTGAGGGCCCCCGTGGCCACAGGTCAAGCTAGAACTGCACAAGAAGTCAAAGTGAGGCTCACCTGCCACTGTGGACACATTAGCCAACAGGTTGCATGGTAGCACCCCCATGGACAGCGTCACCATCACAATGCCACCATTCTTCTTCTAGAAGGATAAAGAAATGGACACTCAGCCTCCTCAGTTTGGCTCTTCAGGCCTGATGACCTGCCTTGTGCCCTGGGGATCCTGGTAAGACAGTGCTCAGTCCTGGTTTCAGGGGCTGGAAGAGGCTTCAGCTCTGGGTTTGCGGGCACCTGAGTAAGCTGATTTGGCCTTGATTTTCAGAGATGGGGGAAGGTTAACCAGCCGTGGGTCCAAGGGTGAGGCCTGGGCTAGTAGCTTTGTTCAAGGTGCTGAATGTTTGCATGGAGCACGCCCAGCTCTGGGTGTGAGGGCTGAGGTAGCTGCTCACCAGAAGTTGCAGGATGTCATCGGGAACATTCAGCAAATTGTCGCACACAGCCCTGGCAGCTGAGTGGGAGAAGATCACGGGAGCCCTCGACACCTTCAGTGCTTGCCGCGCCAAGGTGTCTGACGCGTGCGACAAGTCCACCATCATGCCCAGGCGGTTCATTTCCCCTACCACCTTCTGCAAAGACAGGTTTTTTATTTTTTTATTTTTTTTTGAGTTGGGGGAGATGTCAAGGATGCACATACGTGTGCTCTATCTGTAAGCAGGGAACGTGTGGGGCAGGGAATGGAACAGGAGTCCTCACCTCGCCAAAGCTTGTCAACCCACTGACGTTGGTGTAGAAGTGGTGTTTAAACTTGGTGGAACTTTCTGCCCTGCAGGACAGCCAGAAGAAGGCAATCTCAAAGGCAACATAGTGGGCATCAGAGCCAGAGGACTCTGCATTCCCTCTGTTTGACCATCCACCCTCATTCTGGAATAGAGTAAGGACCTGGGCCAGCTGCTTTCTGGGAGTGTGAGGAACCTGCCAGGAGTCCAGCCTCCCTCTGCGGACTCCTCTGTCCTCCCCTCTCTGGCAGTTTCTCCACCATGTCATCTACCATTTCACCCTGGCTAGACACTCTGCTCACCAGGGCGTGTTGCAGGTGAAGGTAAGTGTCAGGTAGCGCACCCCCAGCAGATAAAAACTGCGCAGCACAGAGAGGCTGCTGTCCAGTGAGTGACCACCCTCCACACCAATGAGGCAGGCCAGCTTTTGAGTGCTGTTCAGACCTAGAAGAGGGTGGATAATCAAGCGGTCAGGCCCCAGGATCAGAACCACCAGAGTGAGCCCCTAACTATCCCCCCATTTGCCAACCCACCTTTGGCTGAGGTCACGAGCTCCAGTTCAGAGTAGGAGGCACACATGCGACGAATGAGGTCAATCTGCTCCAGTGTGAGGCGCACAGCATCCTGGTCCTGGGTCTGGCATGGGGCTTGAGCTGACCAGAACTAGAGGTAGGCCCCGGGGGTCCAGAATGAGATTAGAATGGTTTCCAGTGTTCTTGGTCTGCCATCTTCCTCAGCCCCAAGGTGCTCATTTGGGTCAGTGGCCCAGAATGAAACACTGCATGACTCTATGGTATCCTGATGACTATTAAGCTTGCTGCCAGCAGCCAAACTGTGGACTATGAAATATCACTGCCTGCTGTTTGTCCATGTGCTAGGTGAATGCCCCAAGGCATTCTAACAGCCCCCACACTCACCAAGGATTTTCTGGTCACTTTCTGTGTGTCTCCACAGAACCTGGGTACCCATGTGGTTGGCCTAGCTTGGCCTCCAGAGCCCCCACATTCCCTGCAGTCATGTGATGACACATTATGTGTTCTACGATTCTAATTACCCAGAGGCCTGCCTGCCCAGGTTTCTGTGGCCCCAACATGCCCCAGCAGCCATTCTGTGGCACCCTGTGTATCCCTGTGGTACCTGGGCACCCACGAGGCCATCCTTGAGCTTGTCCACGCTGGTCTGGCCACGACTGAAATTGCGCAGGTTAACATCTCGTAGCCTGTTCTGGAAAAGCCGTCTCAGGAGCAGGGGCAAGTGGTTGTGGCTGGGGGCATCAAGACAAGGTTAGAGTGGGGGACATGGCCTCCAGGTCAGGCAGGGCATGTGGAGGTACCTGGTCGTGTCCTGTCCCCCCCCTCCCCTCCCCCTCCCTCACTGTGTCACACAGACAATATGGAAAAACTCCTAAGGTGCACCCTTTGGGCAGGGGTGTGTGGGGGGGGCTACACCAGGAACAGGGTAATGGGGGGAGGGGGCCTGGCTGATGGAGGAGAGTTCATCCAGGAGTGGGTGAGGAAGCCTCCTCACTAGCCCTACATGCTGAGGACCCCTTCCCCTACCCAGGTGTGGGCTCAGTCTCCACCTACCCCCACGCCGCACCTACGCACCCGTCCACGAGAGGGAAGTCCCGCATCAGGGCCCGCGCGCGCTTCCTCAGACTTGGTGTGCTGGAGGTGGCCGGTGTGGTCGGGGAACTAGAGGAGACCGTGGTCTGGTTGCTGGGGGCTCCGGGTGTGGTCGGGGCTCTGGGGGTTCCGGGAGTGGTCTGGGCACGGGTTACCGGCCGCTGCAGCAGAGACAGCAGGAGCAGCAGATGCAGCAGAGGTCGCCAGCGAAGCTCACGGGGACCCTGGAAGCCCAAGGACCTCATGCTGCGCAGGGCCAGCCGGGCGGGCAGTGGCCGGTCTCTAGAGGAGGGGCGGCGAGGGGCAGAGGGCGATTCGTGACCTAGCCGCGTGGCCTCGTGAAGAGGGGTTGGAGTCAGAATGAGCAGGGATCTGCGACGCAGCAGCCGCACAGCGTGGCCACAGGGGGCGACACAGAACTCCACCCCCAACTAGGAGGGCCCCCCAGTGGCCCCGACCAGTCTCTGCAAGGCGCGAGAGCACGTGAGTGGGAGCGCGGCAAAGAGAGAGGGAGAGAGATCCCAAGCAGGCTCCATGCTCAGGGCTGAGCCTAACCCACGCCGGATCCCATGATCATGACCTGAGCAGAAATCGAGTGGGATGCTCAACCGACCTAGCGACCCAAGGTGCGCCTATATTTCTTAAAAATGAAATTTAAGGGGCGCCTGGGTGGCTTAGTCGGTTAAGCGTCCGACTTTTGCTTGGGTCATGATCTCACGGTTCGTGGGTTCGAGCCCCGCGTCGGGCTCTGTGCTGACTGCCAGCTCAGAGCCTGGAGCCTGTTTCAGAGTCTGTGACTCCCTCTCTCTCTCTGACCCTCCCCTGCTCACTCTCTCTCTCTCTCTCCCCTAGAAATAAATAAAAAACGAAATTTAAGAATAATATGGGAAACCATTTTGTTTTAGTAACTAGTATCGAAATTTGCTTTCTGTACAAAAAAAAATTTGTAGATTCTAAATATTAATTAACTATAACCATCTTGAAAAGGGGGCAAGCCACTCCCTGGTCACTTTATGTCACATCTTTTTCTCTAATATGGTCATCCTGGCTGAGGGATGTGGGTAGTGCTGCTGAGAGCTGGCCTGTTTGGTAACAGATCAGTGGAGGCACCACAGCAGCTGAGCCTTGAAAGGATGGGGTCTGCATTGGGGAGGGGAGGTGGAGAGGGCATCCCAAACTGGCCAATAGCTCAAGCAAAGGTCTAGTTAGGACAGGATGGTTGTCTGTAAGGGAAGAGCTGGAAGGTCCTCAAAGGCATAGAACAGTGGGATAAGAATTCTTGTGGCTAAGAACATGAGGGGTCTTGATCTGACATGACTTCATGTGGGGAAATCCTCCTTCAGTGCAAGGCAGTTTCCAGGATGGCTGGAGGCTTGGGCAGTATAACTCATTGTTTTCTGCAGAAAAAACCCTGATACAAGGGAAAGTGATCTCAGAACTGCATTTGGGTGGCATCTGGGTGTCCTGGACTGGCATGAGGTCCTACCAGGCTGAGAGGGGCCTATATCAGACTAAAATCTGAATTGTCCCCCTTCTGTATCTGTGTCTGCCACCTGTTCTCCCACGTGGGCTTCCTGATAAGCGGGGCTCCCCTTTTGGGTGCCAGAAGAAGGTCTTGACCTCTGGCCACCACTGCCTCCTGTCCATCACTGCTCCCTTCTCATGCCTAGGGGTTAAGGACTAAGTCTGACCCTGCTGCCTTCAGATTTAACTATCTCAGAAGAGAGGGAGAGAGAGAATGTTTATTCTGGTCTCATATACCAAGCTGACTTGCCATGGGAGGTCTTCGTTTAAGTGATATAAACAACATAGTGAATGATGAATTTGCTAATAGTTTATCAAAAGTTCAGAAGTATTGCACATACAGCTGTTCCTATAATAGTCTTAGGTGAAAGTAGAGAGCATTATGTTTATAATTGATTTTTAAAATCATTTATTTATTTAAATGTTTATTTTTGAGGGGGTAGAGGGGCTCCAACCCATGAACTGTGAAATCGTGACCTGACCTGAAGTTGGACGCCCAACCGATCACCCAGGTGCTCCTATAACTGATTTTTAATGTTAGTGAATTATTACATAAACACCATTTCACATGTCTGATTTTGTTTGACTAAGTAAATCAGACTTCTACTCTTTCTGAGAACAACTGGAAATGTTGGGCAAAATATAAAAAGGATCTTCCTGAAGACATCATAAAGTTAAACAAGATGCTAAAAAATGTGAGTATCCAAGGAAAGTGGAAACCTAGAGATGGGCCTAACTTTGAGGCTGGTTCTTCCACTAGGGGTGTGGTGCTCTAAAGAGGCAGAGATTAGTGTCCAGGATCCACCAAAGTAAGGAGAATCCTGATGAACACTTAGTTTTGAGTTGGAACACAAAAATATGCGCCTAGGAGAAAAAATGAATTAGAATCAGTGCCCTTTACCCCAGGCCTGCAGCAATTCTGGTTATTAAGCAATTGTCTCTCAAGTCCAGATGCAGTCTTCTGTTCTAAGCTCTGTGAGGCTGGGGCTCAAACTTTGAGTTTATTTATTTATTTTTTGAGAGAGAGAGAGAGAGAGAGAATGAGCAGAGGAGGGGCATCGAGAAAAGGGGACAGAGAATGCACTCTGCACCTCTAGGGAGGTTCAGTCATTGGAAGCTCATGTACCATCATGTAGTCTAGCATTTGGGCTCTGTCCAAATAGGAACAAAGATCATTTGTGATCTAGGCAGGTTCCTTTCTTGGGAATCTGAATCAGAGTTCCCTTCAAGATCCCCAGGTGGTGGTCAGTAGGTCAGGATGTGGACTGAGTGAGCGACTGAGAGGCAACCCAGAGGAAGGTCCACTCTCCCACAGCCAGAGCTACCCATTGTCTTCTTCTAGTGCTGAGCCCAACCATTTGGGTCTCCTCAGGCCACGCTAGTGAGACTCAGGTTTTACTGGAGTAACTGGTGGCTGAATTGCAGGGTCCTCCACCAACTACCAGAATTGGGAGCTGGCACCACCAGACCCCACCGCAGAGAAGGACACTCATGCCTGTTTCCATGTGTAAAACATTTATTTTCAGGAAATGCATCTGTCTGCACGACAGGTGGACATTGTGGGGTGTCTGCAGCTGCTGTAGTAACATCTGGTAGGATTAACTGGGTCACCAGAGCCACAGAATGAGGACTGAAAAGGCAGCAATAACTGTGAGGCTTGGGGCCACATTGGGGGAAGATTTTGACAATGGCTGTTTAGGTGACCGCTTAGGTGTCCAACGTGCCGAAGTCTCAGTTACTTTCTGGTCTGGAGCCAGATTCTGTGTCTGAGGCAGACGTGAAAGAACAGAGCGGCAAGAACTGCCCAGCTGCTCATCCGGGAACTCGTCTTCCAAGGGGCTTTGCCCCTTGCTTGCCTCCCGTACCTGGAGGTGGCAGTAAGTAGTCAGCAGCTCCCACAGCAGCCCCAACACATTTGCTCAGACCCCTGAGCAACTCTTTTGTCCAACCCAGCATACCTGTTCCACCTGTCCAAAGACCCGCAGCAGGTTTCCACGAAGCACACCACGGAGCTCTTCCTCACTCCAGCCACGACTCAGCAACTCTTCTATCAGAACTGGGTATGTGGACACGTCCTCTAGCCCCTGAGGGAACCTATATGGTCATGAGCCAATCAGCTGTGGAACTGCAGCCCCGTTCCCTGTTCCTGACTCAAAACTACAGCTCTATGTGTCCAGGGTCTACTGAATCCCAGCCCTGGTCTGACATGGGAAATGGACACTTGGACAGAGTAAGTGATTCACCCTTGTTCTTCATTCTGCAGAAGGAAGCTCCTAACATCTTTGAATGTTTATAAAAACTCATTGAATTATACTGTTTGGATCTAGGCCTTTCACAGAATGCAAAGTTTTCCTCCATTTATAAAAAGAAGAAAAGCTTTTTAATTTATTTTTGTAGTTTATTTATTTTGAGAGAAAGAGTGTATAGGGAGGGAGGGAGGGGGAGGGAGTGGGAGAGAGAGAGAAAGAGAGAGAGAGAGAATCCCAAGCAGTTTCCACACCATCAGCAGAGAGCCCGATGCAGGGTTCAAACCCACAAATGGTGAGATTATGACTTGAACTAGAATTAAGAGTTAAACGCTTAACTGACTGAGCCACCCAAGCGCCCCGAGAAGAAAAGCTTTTTAAGACCCAGCTGCAGGTGGAGGAGTTGGTCAGTCCACACATCAGACCTTGCTGAGTCCGCTCAGAAGCAGTGGGTCACTGGCATGTGGCTGGCTCAGGAGGAAGAGAATATGACTTTTGATTTCAGGGTCATGAGTTTGAACCCCATATTGGGTGTAGAGATTACTTAAATAAATAAAACTTAAAAAAAAAAAAGCTGTGGGTCTGCTGTCACTATGGTGGGTACATCTGCTGGACAGATCATGACCTAGAGGTGGGGTCAATGGGTCACAGACAAACAGAAACAGACTCTGCATGTGGGGAGATCCCAGGTGAGCCTAAAAGCTATGAGGACCACGGTGTGGTGGGCATGGTGACTATCAAGGCTCTATTGTGGCACAGCTAGCCCCAGAAGAGCCCCAGAGAAGCACTTACCATTTAGCCCCATCGTAATCTCCACCAATCCCAATGAATTTGGATCCAATGACTGCCTTTATGTAGTCAAAGTGATCTGCGGGATCAAGAGTCAGCAGTGTGGGGCTTCTAGGGCAGGGGTGAGGTGGGGACTGGACTCTACTGATTCCCCTTCTTGCTGCCTATAGGCCATGGAGGCCAATTCCTTCGTGGCCTGGCACCCAGTGTGCCAACCTGAGGAGGCTGATTCCAGATGGCTCTAGACTGGAATTTAGATTTGGAGTGGACCCCATCTGGCCATTTCTCATTCAGGATTCACCCTGCTTCCAGTCTCCTAGAGAACCATGGGGGCCCCTTTCCATGGGTGTGGAGGATGAGAGATGAACAAAGAATATAACTGACAAAGACCAAAGAGACTTAAGGGGCCTCCCAGTCCCTTGGCCAGAGGCAGGGTCAGGGATCTTTGGGAACCCCTAGAGGGGTGCAGATGGTTGGCACCTGGGCTCTGTGTCTGCCTGCCTCCTTTATACCCATCAATATTGTAGTATCAAAGTTGTGTCTTCAGTTCCACATGGCACCAAGGTGCCTTAATCTGTGCATCATTGAGTTTTTGGGCACTGTGCCTACTGCCAACAATGAATCAGACCTCTAGGGCAGTTCTGAGGCCCTCCCCCCAAGGCTTCAGGTCCAAATCAGAGCTATTCAGAGAGCCCAGGTAGGGCTTACCTGCCACAGTGGACACATTGGCTAACAGGTTGCACTGCAGCACCCCCACTGACAAAGACACCATCACGATACCACCATTCTTCTTCTGCAGGGGTGGACAAATGGACACTCAGCTTGGCCCCCAGAACAACCACTTGCCTCTACGCTCCTGTGAGGAAGGTGTTCAGCTCTGGCTTTGAAGTCAGAGGAGATTTCACCTCTCTACTC